TGTAGCATAAAACTAATATGGCTTTAGTATGGCTAGACGCTTATCATAAGAAACTGACCACAGACCAGCAAATTCTTTTAGTGAAGAAACGCTGAACTTTCTCAATTTTATTAATCAGGCATATAGTGTAAGGTGACCATACTGAAGAGTAGTATTCAAGCATAGGTCATAAGTACAGTAGAAATATTCATCTCGTGAATAAAAAGATTTTAGAACAAGATACGCTCTTGACAGAGCTTTATGTACAATATAATTGATATGTTGCTTGAATTTGAGATTTCTATCAATGGTAACTCTAAGATCTCTTATACAGTATTCCAAGAACGCTCCCCTGTGCAACACAGGGTTAAATTAAAATGTTAATGTGTTAAACTGGACAACTACTAGATTCTTATTTGTTTTTTACTTCCACTAGTAGGTTATAACTAGTTATAAACTATTACTAATAGGTTATAACTTGTAATAAGCTATTACTAATAGGTACCTATGGTATAAGTATCCTAGGTTATGATAATTATATAGTGAAACTTAGTAGTTTAACTACTAGGTTTTAGGTACTAGTTTTTTGTGTGTTCTTTACTATTGTTAGATAAACTAATTTCTAATTAGATTAACTAAAATTGTTTATCTTATTTAATTAAATTTTTTGTTTTAAAAAAGAAAAAGATATTATAGAAACTTATTGTTAGAGTATATTTCATTAAACAAAATATTATATATATTTTAGAAATTTACTTAAATATGTAATATTGCGTTTCTTTCAAAAATTGTTGCTATGTAAAACCGAAAATTATATTTGTATTTGATGCTTGTACATTTATTTATATATAAAAAAGATATAAAAGTTCGTTACAAAAATTTCTGAATTGGGTGTTTTTCCTGCTCGCTGTATGTGTACATTCTATGTAAATTTACGGCTACAACTATAATAATAATAATGAAAAAAAAAAAAAAATTGTAATAAACAAATACGCCGCCATCTTGAGAGGCTAAAACTGGCTTCAAAAAATTAGCTGAATTCGCTATCCAGTTATATTTTGAGATCAGTGATGAATCCCTATCCCCCGCAAATGTAAATGGACCCTTATCTTCACAAAACTTTTTAGTTTCTGTGTTTTCATACTGTTCTCCTACAACGGGTTGCCTTTAAGGCAACTTTAATTTGTAGGGTTATTTAGAGTTGCCTGTAAGGCAAATATTGAGCGGAGGAGGTAAATATAATTTTTGTGAGTGTGTTTATTGAGCATTTTTACCCTTCCTTACAACGGGTTGCCTGTAAGATAATCTTAGCTTGTAAGGGTAAAAAGTTGTCTGTAAACAACGTTAGAGTAGAGAAAGAGTGTATGAGCATTGTTGAAGTAAGTAAACTGTGAAACCCTTCCATACTATCAAATAAACAGACTATGAAAACCGATTAATTCAACGAACTTAAATGTTCCAAATAAAAGCTATACGCAAGCTACAGCAACATTTCACAATCCCAAACTGTCTAATGAATTTAGCACTTTAAAAAAAACTCTTCTGAGTAAAATATCAGAGGATATAACGCTTGGGCGTTTTCAAGAGCTTGATTTTCTATCAGCTCTTGAAAACGCTAAATTAGATCATGACTTAAAAAGCCTGCAAATTATCCGCAAAGGGACGATGATTGAGCTTGTCATGAAAAATGATAAAGCAAAATCATCGCTCCAAGAAAACGGACTCTTAATTAATGGTGTACGCCACTATTTTTATAACTCAACACCTAATAGAAACATAAGCAAACGAGTCACAGTATCTGTGATTGGCTTTTTCCTTAAAATTTTTTTACCGTAGTAAAAAGTATTCCTTAATTTAAAGAAACTTATTTACTTAAATCCAAATTAAGTAAAAACAAAGGAAATATTTTATGAAAATACGCTTTTATGGTTTTGATAAAACCGTGTTTCCTTAAAATAATATGCGCCTTTAGTGTTACAGTAATGGCGCTAACATCGTATAAAATGATAAAGTTACATTATGTTTAAAAAATTATTTATTGACAAAAATTATTGTTATTTTTATTATAGGAAAACAGTAAATTGTTTCCCAATTGTTATAGTGTATTAAAAAAATTGATTAAGCAGGTATAATTATATAAAAGCCACATGTATGTTTATTGGCCATACACAATCATTGTGTATGGCCCATACACATACATGTGGTATAGTATTGCTAAAATATAGTATAGTAAGTATGGTAAAGTATAGTATAGTATTGCCATAGTATGGAATAAATTGAATAAGCTGGAATAATTATATAAAAACCACATGTATGTGTATGGGCCATACACATTATAAAAATGTGTATGGCCCATACACATACATGTGGTTTTTTATATAGTTATACCAGCTTATTCAATTTTTTTCATACTATGGCAATACTATATTATACTTTACCATACTATGGCATACTATGGAATTTGCCATACTATGGTAAGTGTATGCGTTGAACTTGGCTGTTAGGCTAGTAGGTTCAAATATGCTTGGTTAATTACTTTAACCTAAGTTTGAAATTATAGTTATAAATTTTATAAGAATATAAATGTTTTACAGTGTAAATATATATATATATATATATATATATATATATATATATATATTTGTAACTTAAAATCATTCAAAGATCAAATTTCACAGCAGGACTGGAATCACATAAACTTTAATGGTAACATAAACATTATCTATAACACATTTTTTAATACTTTCTTTAAAATCTATGACGCTAATTTTCCAATATGTGAAATAAATCTCAAGGCCAAAGACATATTGTCTCCTTGGATAACTAAGGGACTAAAAAAGTCTTCAAAACTAAAACAAAAATTGTATAATAAATATTTAAAAACAAAATCTGAAAAACATCAACAAAATTACAAAAACTACAAAAAACTGTTTGAAAAACTCTGCAAAAATGCTAAAAAATATTATTCTAAATTGCTTACTCAGCACAAACATAACTTAAAACGCGTCTTGGAATTAATGAAAGAAATTACACGAAAGCAAAAAGTAATTTCAACTTCTCTTCCACTTGCAATAAAAGTTGGAAATAAAATAACTAATAGTTCTTTGGATCGTTAGAAAGAAATAAATCAGTAGGACCTGATGGTATAAATGGAAATATTGTAATAGACTCTTATGATGTCATGAAGGATATTCTTTACAAAATCTTTAAATCATCCATTAAACAAGGTTCTTTCCCAGACTCTCTGAAAATAGCCAAAGTAATCCCTATTTTTAAAACAGGAGACCCGAACAATAAACCAAATTACAGACCTATTTCTGTTCTTCCAGTTTTTTCAAAAATATTAGAAAGAATAATGTATAACAGAGTGTACACATACCTAATTACCAATAAACTTCTTTATAAAAATCAGTTCGGTTTTAAAAAAAACAACTCAACCAATATGCTATTCTTCAATTAACACGTTATATTAAAGAATCTTTTAAAAATCAAAAATTTACACTTAGTGTTTTCATTGACCTGTCAAAAGCTTTTGACACGGTCGATCATAATATTTTGCTTAAAAAACTTGAATGTTATGGCTTAGCAGGTAAAACTCTAAGTTGGTTCAAAAGTTATCTCTCCAACCAAAAGCAATTTGTTTTTAATAAAGATTCCCAACCTCAAACATTAATGAACATAACATATGGTGTCCCACAAGGATCCATACTTGGACCACATCGTTTCATTATATATATAAATGATCTTAACAAAGCATCCAATTTAAAGACTATAATTTTTGCAGATGACACAAACTTGTTTCAGTGACATGAAAATATAAACCTACTTTTTAATAATATGAACAGAGAACTTAAAAAAATTCAATTTTGTTCAAAAAAATAGGCTATCTTTAAATATTGAAAAAACAAAATGGATACTTTTCCATCCAAACTATAAAAAACAGATACTGCCTGTAAATATGCCTAATCTTTTTATAGACAATGTCATTCTAAAAAGAGAAAAAGTGACAAAATTTTTTAGAGTTTTTATTGAAGAAAATCTGTCTTGGAAGTCACACATCAATAATATTTCTAATAAAGTTGCAAAAAACATTGGAATTCTATACAAATCTAGAGGTATTTTAAACAAAAAGCAATTAACACAATTATATTACTCTTTTATTCATTGTCATATCAATTATGCAAATATTATATAGGGAAGTACACATAAAACTAAACTTAAATCTCTTTATCGGCATCAGAAACACGCAGCTCGCATAATAAATTTTAAAAATCGTTTTTCGAACTCTGAACCGCTTTTTAAAGAAATGGACGTTTTAAATGTTTATCAACTAAATGTATTTAATGTTTTGTGTTTTATGTACAAATGTAAAGAACTTATGTCCCCCGATGTTTTTGTAAACCTTTACAAGATTAAACCCTAAAACAAATATAACCTACGTAATAATAGCTTTTTAGAAAAACCTTTTTGCAATAATAAACAAGCTCAATTTTGTATATCTTATCGTGGACCTTTTCTCTGGAATGAAATAGTACGGCCTAATTTTATTCTTTCATCTAAATTGACCTATTCCTTTTTCAAACAATCAATTAAAAAAAACCATTTTTTCAACAAAAAATATTTTTGATTTTTTTTGATTTAAAAAAAAAAAAAAAAAAAAAAAATTTAGTTGCTATACTGCATAATGATTTGTTATGTTTTATTTTGAGTTTCACTTCTGAAGTATGCAGTGTCAAATTTATGATATATTTAGTGATTATATATTCTCGGTATATATTTATTGTATATAATATATAGATGTTTTTATTGAAGAAGAGAATAGAATTTTGTTAAGGGCTTCGTGATAAGATCATTACGATCTTCTTGAAGTCCTGTCCGTATAATATTATAAATCTTGTAATGTAAATAATATTATACGGCAAATAAAATAAAATAAATAAATAAATAAAAAATATTTTAAATTTATATGAAATCAGAAATGTCCTAGTTCGTATTACATGTACTTTTTGTTTTATATTTAGCCTAGCACTGGCAATTCTATAGATGTTCCACAAAACTTGGTTCATCCCAAATTGTTCCTTAAATATTTGTTGAATGATCTCAACAAAATCACTGGAAGAATTGTGTGCAACGAAAAGGTTTGCTTGACTAAATTTTTGATTGTGGAACACTTGGATTACATGTTTAAGGTGTTTTAGATTTTTAATTTGGATTATTCTAACGGTTTAGAGAAATTTTTGCAACTTTAAATATAACTTAACCTTTGGCAAGGAATGAATGGTTAGCACCATCAACAATGTAGCTCGACTTTTTCAACTATTACATAGACTAACTAGTGATCACTACTGATGAAGGCTGAAAGCTTGGCATAGTTAAATATATAATTATTTTGTATGCTCATCATGCAACAGTTATTATATTGTATTAGCTTGAATTTTTGGCTGCATAAGCGGCCAAAATTTCAATCATTGTATACTCATGCTGCAGTTGTTACATTGTATTTACACGAATATTTGTAATGTCCGTTAAAAAAGAGTCAGTACTACGCGAGATCAATATATATTTTAGTTTTACATTTTTTTGTATTTTTTGTTTTTATATTTTTGTGCCGTTGTGCGAAATGAAATCGAGAATAAGAAAAAAGTTTCAGAAGAAGTTGATTAAGATTAATTAATTTTTATAAGTGAAGAAAGATTTTATTAATTAAAATAAAAAAAAAAGGTAACAAAAATACCACGTTATGAAAGCTACAGTGAAACATGCAAATAATATTATATATCATAAATTAAGGGCCGGCAGTGGTTGTCTAATCATAAACAACAATATTTTTTTTTTAAAAAAGAGAAAATTATATTAGCTGGGAACAGGAACACTTAACTTAAACATATAGTTCTTGCTATGAGCCAGTGTATTTGTTCAGCTCATATGTTAAGTTTTAGTTTCCCATTCTCTACTTGACAAATAACGTTATTGATACAAAAAGTTTGACAGAAAATGTCCGCAGTGTTTCTACGGACATGATACTTATATTTTAAAGTAATAATATTTCTGATGTTTCTGATAATTATCCTGATCACTGCCGTTGGGTCAATTATCGAATTGTTAAACATATGGTGGCATCTGCTGTTCCGTATTTCACTCATAATTGTTTGAGTGATTGTCACAGCAGCTGCGAGGTAGAGTTTTTCTCAGATAAATTTTCAGTTTCAATCGAGAATATCAAATTTATTGGAGAAAAGTTGTTTGGGGATGTCAAGGAGTTATATACATGTTTAAAGTAATCCCATATTGTAACAGAGGGAGGATAGTAGGCAAAAATGTGCAGGTTGTTCTCAATTTTTCCGCAAGTTTTACATTTGTAGTTTTTAACGATCTGTTGCCTTGAGCTATTGGAAAACAAAGCAGTGGAAGGTAAACTGTTTTGTGTTGGTCCGTATGCGTGGGAGAAAATTTTTCCAAATCTAGATCCACGGCATTGTTGTTTTTGTTGAACTGCTCCAGAAAAGTTCGGCTGGCACAACTGTCTTTTTGTTTTTTGCCACTTCTAAATAATTTTTTTTGTTGTTTAGAGGAATGCTAAACAGGGACTCTAATTCGACAAAAATTTTTATTGTAGTTTTGTAGTACTGAGACATTTTGTTGTCCCAGTGTTTCGGAAAAATGTTTTATCTTAAAAAATTTTGTTTAGTAATCTACTCAAGGTTTTGTTAATCTTTACAAGTGATCTTTACAAGTGAATTTGCCACCTAATGCTTTGAAAAGTAGTAAGATTTGTTAGTTTTGTCCTTTTCACACTCTTTTATTTGAAAAAGCGTTTTGAGGCGGAGCGCAAGACTTTGCTCCTTTTGTGATAATATTCCAAGACCCCCATCTTTTAACGGGTAGGAAAAGTGTCTCTCGTTTGACCGGGTCGAAATTGGTCTTTTGCAACAGATTTTCAAAAATAACTCTATGCAAACGCTCTAATAACCAATCAGGTGTGGGCAACACGTTTGTTAGAAACCACACTTTTGACATTGCTAGCGTATTTATTAAATTACCCTTTCCTCTAAGTGACAAAATACGCAGTCCCAGATACTTGAGCTTTTTCTCTATTTTGTTTTGGTAGAATTCCTCAGTCTGGTATAAAAAGTAACACCTAAAATTTTGGAACCGATGTCATTGTTCTATTCTATGTTATCCAATTCTCTGTAAATTTTGGGATCAAAACCCCCTTGAGCAAGACCCTTGGTTTTTGAGACATTGATCACTGAACCTTTTGCTTTTTCGAAGATTTTTATGTTTTCCAAGAAATAGCGGACACATTTTACGTCCTTGACAAAAAAAGTTCGAATTGTCTGCGTACTGATGTAGTTTAGAGGTTTCGGTGCTTCCGGTATAGGAAAACCTTCTATTTTGCTGTCCGCTCTGATCAACAAAACTAAAGCTTCAGCAACAAAAGCATACAGAAAAAGAGAGAAGGGTCGCCTTGTTTAACTCCTCTTTCCGTAGGAAAAGAGGTCGATTGGAAGCCGCAATTCAGAATAATTGCCGAAATTTCTGAATATAAAGTGTTAATAAAAGATACAAAATTTTCTCTGAGATTAAATTTTTGGAGAATTTGCAGCAGAAACGTACGATCGACTTTGTCAAACGCCTTTTCTTGATCTATTGTCAAAATAAAACTAGGTAGTTTTTAAAATTCTGCGTAATCTATTAGATCACGGACTAAATGTTTATTTGAAAAAATGTTTCTACCTGGAACTCCGCAAGTCTGATTTGGTTTTATAATTTTCCCCATTACTTTTGCAAGTCTCGGGGCCAGCGCTTTCGTGATTATTTTGTAATCAGCGCCGATTAAAGATATAGGGTGGAATGCAAGAAGCGAACTGGAGTCAAGCTCGACTTGAACTTTACATTGCAACCAATAGCGACAGAGTATGGGTTTTCCCCTCAAAAAATACTCTGCCGCTATTGGTTACAAAGTAAAGTTCAAATCAAACTTGACTCAAGTTTGCTTCTTGTATTCCACCCATAGGCCTCTAATGTATGCATTTAGTACGATCTCCTTTATTGGGAATCAATAAAACTATTGATTTTTTCATAGAGTGGCTTGTATTTTTTTCTACAAAAAGAATTTTGTTGGCAAGTTCTTTAAAATCTTTTTCTAAAACGTGCCAAAAAGTTTTGTAAAATTCAGCTGGAAAGCTGTCATAGCCCGGATATTTTCTGTTTTCAAATTTAAAAAGGGCATTTTTTAGTTCCGCGCCGGTAAGACGGGTGTTTGAAAATTGATTTTCATCATCACTTAAACGTTTAGTGATGTATGATAAGACATAGTTTTAGCTGTCTTTGCATAAGTTTGTTTTGGTGTAAATGTTTTTATAATATGTTGATAGAGTGTTTAGTATTTCACCAGGCTCACTCGTCAATGTGCCGTCATTCTTGCAAATATCGGTAACTGACTTGTTCCGCTGTTGAGTTTTTTCCAAACTATACAAAAATTTTGAAGGTTTTTTTCGTTCTTCGATAAGTTTTTGTTTCGCGTTTTTCTTTGATGCTATCTAAATTCGGGTTAGCGTTTTGTCGCTCCCGTTGTATTTCGTTTTCAATCCTTTTGATGTATTTTTTGTTTTTCGTACTTTCCTGTATCGATATATGTTGTAATTCTATCATTACAAAAAAGTTTGCAGTCGTCCCACCATATTAATATAGACCGTAGGACCGTTTTTTTGTTTGCCAATCTTGAATTAAGAGTAGGTGTGATATTTTGCATTGTTCGAGCCTTCTGTGTCAAGAGGCAGGCTTTCGACCTAGTTGAAATCCCCTGCCATCAGGACGGGTAGTCCTGTGTCCTGCGAAAAATCTCCAAGGTCGTAAATGTTCAGCACTTGCATTTCGTGTTTATCATTTTTTATCATGGCGTTTAATATTCTAACGTTAGTGTCCCGTTTTAGTTCGGTTAAAGTAATATTGGATTTAGAAAGGATTGCTACCCTGCAACTGTGACTTAAACCAGAGTTCCAAATAGACTCGCCAGTCCATTCGTCACCCTACTGATTTACAGTGGACGGTCCAAATTTTGTTTCCTGAAGGAGGATAAGATCGAAGGAGGACTTTTTGAGAAAACTAAAAAATTGTCGCGTTTGGTTTGGTCGTTTAGACTGTTTATGTTGCATGTTAAAATATTAATAGCCATGAAGGAGAGGATCAGGGGCTAATGCTAAAACAAAAAAACGATGTTTTTACCGTAAAACTTGAAATTTTTTGCGCACCACCCGGAGGTTTTGCGTAAACAGCAAAAAAAAAAAAAAAAAAAAAAAAAATATTGTCATTAAAATATATAAATATTGTCATAAAAATATATACATATTATGAAAATAAATATACATATATATATATATATATATATATATACATTATTTTTAATATATATATATATATATATATATATATATATATATATATATATATATATATATATATATATATATATATATATATATATATATATATATATATATATATATATAATATATATATATATATATATATATATATATATATAGGGCCGGCGCGAGTAGGTGTCACGTGGGGGGGGGGGTGCCATTACATTTTGCCGACAAAAGAAAAAAAAAAAAGGTCCTCGTTTTCCAAAATTTGCCGACTGCCATGACGACATTTGCCGACTGTCTAGATTACCGACTAACATTTATCGAAAGGGTCGACATTTGCCGACTAACTAATCTAAAAGGGTCCAATTTGCCGACTAAAAATCATTGATGGGGGGTGTCACACACCCCCACACACCCCTATCGCGCCGGCCTTGTATATATGTATATACTTATAATTATATTTATAGCATTTTTTTTGCTTTTTACGCAAAACCTCTTAACGTGTGGTGCGCAAAAAATTTCGAGTTTTACGGTAAAAATTTATTATTTCTGTTTATAGCATTAGCCCCAGCTTTCTTAATTTGAAAACTCGTGTAGCTTAAAAATACATATAATTATTATATGTATTAACAAACAGATGGACGCACTGGACCATACAATTTTACTCAAAAGCGCGATCTACAACAATACGAAAAGCTACAGCTTATGCGCTTATTTAAAAATGTGACATGCATAATTAAGGAGAAAATAATAATAGAACAGAAAAAAGTCTGATGTTTAAAATAGCTAGAGTATAATTGTTTATTATTGTTTTTAAATTATTTAGTGTAGATTAAAATAAATTTATTATTTCTAATCAATTAATATGAAAACTGAAGTTTTAAGAAAAAGAAAAATTGGTACCTCAAGAGTTTTTAAAAAAAGAAAAAGCACTTCAAAAAAATCAAGTTTGGGAATTTTCCCCCAAAATGAAGATACTTCTGTCAGCAATAATTGTCATTAATTTACAAAAATAACTTAAGCATTTTACCTAACTTAACAACATCAATTAGTAATGTTATAGCCAGTGATGAAACTTTTCTAAAATCTCAAAGTAATAATCTCACGATTTCTTTTCCATATACAGTTGGCCAACATATTCTTTATCAATTATAAGTAAATCTGTTTCCTCATCGCAACACATCCCGTCGTTTTTATTC